AAAAAAAGAAAAAAAAAAACTGAAAAACAAAAAACAAAAGTTTTCACCCTGTTGGCCAGGCTGGTCTTGAACTCTTGACCTCAGGTGATCTGCCCACCTCGACCTCCCAAAGTGCTGGATTACAGATGTGAGCCACCACACCTAGCCTCATGCCTCAAATCTTAACGCTTTGGGAAGTTGACGTGGGACAATCACCTGAGGCTAGAAGTTTGAGACGCACCTGGGCAACACACAGAGATCCTGTGTATTAAAAAATTTAAAAATTAGCCAGGCATGGTGGTTCACACCTGTGGTCCCAGCTACTTGGGAGGCGGGAGTGGGAAGATTGCTTGAGCCCAGTAGTTTGAGGTTTCAGTGAGCTATGATGTGCTACTACACTACAGCCAGGGCAGCAGAGTGAGACCCTGTCTCAAAAAACAAATAAAAAAAAAATAATAATATATTTACAGAAAGGAAAGGGAAAAGCAAGTGTGGTAAAGTGTTAACATGTGGTGGATAACCTGGGTGAAAAGTATATGAAATTCTCTGTACTATTCTCACAAAATTTTCTTAAGTCAGAAATTATGTCAAAATAAAAAGTTAAATGGAAAAGAAAGCTTAACCCTTTGAAGCCTGAAATCAAAATAAGTGCATCAAGCCTCTTTAGTTTCATGGTCTTGACTCTTAGAGTATTAATAAGATAAAATACATCTCAATTATATTGTATATCTCACTTAGTAAGAGGGAAATACTGAAGTGGGTCTACACTCCAAGACAAGGCTGTCACTTTTAATCCCTTTTCCTCTTGCCTGGGTGGGGGAAAAAAAAGAAGGGTGGGATAGAGTGAACAAGCTGGAAGACACAGAAACTTTAACTTAGCACTTGATTTTAGAAGCCTTTCCATTTAAAAGTCAAATCTTGAATGAGTCTTTACAAAGTTAAAAAGTCAGCATTCTTGCCATTTTTCTCTTTCCCTTCCAAAAAAAAAAAAAAAAGAGAAAAAGACTGGATTACATCTGCTGATTCCATACGGTAAAGTTAGCAAATAGTTTTCTTCCCTTTAAGAAGCTGAGGTGAAAAAAATCTGTAGAAGCTTAGTGCTAATCTAGTAGGTGTGAATTACTAACAAATTCTGGAATAAAGAAAAAAAATCAAGATTGGTAAATGTATACAAGTTTACGTTTACGTAGGTAGAATAAGTTCTGGTTCTGTAACACAGTAGGGTGACTATAGCTAGTAATAATGTATTCTATATTTCAGGGTAGCTAGAAAAAAGGATATTGAGTGCTGTAACCACAAAGAAATGAATATCCTAACTACTCTGATTTTTATCATTATTCAATGTATTAAAACATCACACTGTATCCCAAAAACATTTATAATTATGTGTCATTTGTAAGATAAAAAATTTTTTTTGTGTGAGACGGAGTCTTGCTCTGTCGCTCAGGCTGGAGTGCAGTGGTGTGATGTTGGCTCACTGCAACCTCCGCCTCCCAGGTTCTAGCAATTCTGCCTCAGTCTCCTGAGTAGCTGGGATTACAGGTATGTACCACCACGTCCAGCTAATTTTTTTATTTTTTGGTAAAGGCAGGGTTTCACAACATTGGTTTCAAACTCCTGACCTTGTGATCCACCCACCTCGGCCTCCCAAAGTTCTGGGATTGCAGGAGTGAGTCGCCATTTTAAATTTCTTTTAAAATTTTTTTTAAAAGAAATCAATAAAAAAAAAAAAAAAAAGAAACCAAAAGGCAACAGATAATTATTCTAACGTATACAAAGCTAAATAAGAATAATATTAGAATAATAACCAACATGGACTAGATAATAAAAACACTTAGAAATTCATGAATTACCTTTTCATTTAAAATTATAGCTTATTAATAACATGATGAGCTATTTGAATGAAGATCATTCGAAGTCTGTGATCCATAAACCAAAAAAAAAAAAAAAAAAAAAAAGTTTTTGTTTTCTTAAATTCTATCTTCATGCCAAGGATTCAGAGCCAACATTTTCAAATTGAATTCTGTATTCAAGAGCAAAAAGTTTTTAATTTACAAAACTCCATAAAGGAAGTATAAAAAATAAACATAATTTATTTCTTAATTATCTTTCCTGAGACACTCTGCTAGAGACCTTATCCCTATATCTACTTATGTTAGTAGCCTCAAAGACAGTAATATTTATGAAAATGTTTAAAATAAGAACAAATCTACAGTTTAACTAATGGAGGCGAGGTTAAATCCACAAAAATATTTTAGATGACTATGAAACATTATGAAATAAAGAATGAGTTAAATTACAACAATAATACTCTAGCTAAAATATTAAAAAGGAAGTGCTATGTATAAAGACTTTTAAGAAAAGATGGATGAATATATACCAAATAACCAGTAAGTCTCTGAGTGGTAGGATTGCAGGTGATTTTCACTTTATAGTTTTTCTTTATATTCCTATGTACTTCTCATCTGAATAATAAGCATGTGTTATTTTTATGATTATATAAGCAAAGTTCATTTTTTTTTTGAAAAAATAGATATGAAATCAAAATTAAAGTGGAATGGGCTGAATAACAGAATACATTGAGACATGAAAGCCTTAAGTTACGAATCTGGGGTCTCCAGATACTGATGCAATCAAAGAAGCCCTCTTTCATCTCTTTGACATACTGGGTTCCTTTCTATTGTTTTGAAAGAAAAAAAATCACAAACATATACAAAGGAATTATTTGTTGACATAAAGTGATGTTTTCTATGACGGCGGTAGGCAAATTATAATATTATGTGTACTAAGCTCCAATTTAAAAAAACATAAGGACAAGCAGGGTGGCTCATGCCTATAATTTAACACTCTGAAAAGCTGAGGTGAGAGAATGGCTTGAGGCCAAGAGCTCGAGACAAGCTTGGGCAATACAGAGAAACCCCGCCTCTACAAAAATTTTTTAAAAATAAAATATTAGCCAGGTGTGGTGGTATGTGCCTGTAGTCTCAGCTACTCAGGAGGCTGATGTGGGAGGATACTTTGAGGACAGGAGAGTTTGAGGCTATATTGAGCTATCTATCTGCACTATTGCACTCCAACCTGGGTGACAGATCGAGACTTTGTCTCTAAAAAAATTTTGTATGAGGAGTTAAAAATTCAGCTTTAGTTTATCTAATATTTCTTAAACATACTTTTTATAATTAAAAATTTTTTAGAAAAATTTAAAAGCAACAACTAAAAAAGACCTTGAATTGACTGCTATCTTATTTCTAGGCCTCAAAAAGATATAGGTGTAGTCATAGTCTGAGGGGGAAACGGAATACTTCTATTTTAAATTAGAAGCAACATTATCTAACATTTCAAAAGAAATCTTCAGCAGATTAAGTCAGTTTATGATACTATATATAAAATAAACACACTATTAAAATAAACTACTTTCTTTTAAAAAAAAAAAAACAAAAAAACCCTAGGCTAGGCGCTGTGGCTCATGCCTGTAATCCCAGCACTTTGGAAAGCCAAGGTGGGCAGATCATGAAGTCAGGAGATCGAGACCATCCTTGCTAACATGGTGAAACCCTGTCTCTACTAAAAACAGAAAAAATTAGCCTGGCGTGGTGGCACAGACCTACAGTTGCAGCTACTCAGGAGGCTGAGGCAGGAAAATTGCTCAAACCCAGGAGGCAGAGGTTGCAGTAGGCTGAGATCACGCTACTGCACTCCAGCCTGGGCAACAGAGCGAGACTCAAACAAACAAACAAACAAACAAACAACAACAAAAAAAAAAACCTAAAATTCTAATGTCATTTTGTCTATTCTAAAATAGTCAATCATGCAAATAAACTTTTATACTCAACATGCTTGAATTATAGGTAAATGATGTTAGCAACTAAACATAACCCCAGCTCAGTATCAAATGTTTTTAAATACAATAAGCAGTTCACTGTATAGTCTTTTAATTCACATGCAATAACAAAAGCTATCATAAAGTTATAAAAGAAAATTTTCTAACGGGTGCAATCCCCAAAACCTCACATATTAGCCTTCACAAAAAATGAAATCACTCAAAAAATATTTTATTGAAGGAAATTCGCACACTTTTCCATTTACACCTGCCATTTTACATATGAATGTATGTCACCAAGGAAACATAAAAGAATGTCTATATTGTTTTTGCCTTTTTCCTCAAACTATTTTCTGCTTTATACAGTCAAAATGTTAGACTAGCAGGAGTCAACGGCCAGTTCAAACCAGATCCAAAATATAAGTTTCAAGTTTCTCCAGTTAATAGTCATACATCTGAAGATATTTTTCATGTGGCAACTTCTAAGTTTGTTTCACCGAATGGAAGTGAATCGCTTGAGAGAAGTGTTATAGCTGATTTATACTTTTAATAAATACATTGGTTAATATACAACATAATGAAAAATACATCCAGGCACCAAGACATCCAGCAACGACTAAACAAACCCTACTGTCACCACTGTCTTCCCACTCCTGGTCTCCTGCACCACAGTAGCCAAAAAATACTACCCAAGAGATTCTTTTGGCTGCTATTGTTGTTTGCGGTTGAACTGCAGAGAATTGCTCTTCAACTGCAAACAACAGAAAGCAAAAAATATAGAAAGGGCTAAGGATTCCCGAACTAAGAAATGTAACCTGGATATGAGTTGTTTTAACTATACTCTATGTATCAAAAATGGAGAAATTTATACTTTTCTCCCTTTTGAACAAATTTTTATTAAGTTTTTATTCCAATGCCCATATTCCTAACAATTTGATAAAGTTTTTAAAGCTTAAAAACAATCCTCAAAATCATCCCTTCTCCCTTCCCATATATTTTAAATGGTTTTCTACTTGATCAAATAACATCCTAAATTATATACAAACAAATTTCAATTATACAACAGACAAAGTTTAAAGTTAGTTGCCCCCTTTACGAAACAAAAAAAATTAAGTTACAACAAAAAAAAATAACAGAATTGAAGAATTTTTTCTCAATTATTGGTAACACAAAAATTATAATAGTCAGAATCTGCACTTACTCTTCACCCCTTTCTTCCCCTTTCGTTCCTTCTTGTACTGTTCCTTCAGTTTACTTATTAGTCCCTGGTCTACATCCCAAACCTCAGCAGTTGGGGAGAGGTCATCTTTATCTACATGCAGCATATTATTAAAAGAAAAAAAATCAGCAGTTGGCAATGCAAGCTGTTGGCAGTAAACTGTTATAGCTTTACATAATCATAATAAAATGTACTAATAGCATATATTCAAAATACTTTAAAGGTGCAGTCTCAGTTCTGGTATTCACAACTCAAACTCTAAATGCCCAAGTCATAAGTCTCTAAACATTTAATACCGACAGTTAAATGGTGCTTCATTTTTATGAACCACAAATTTGAAGGTTATTATTCATTCAATGGACTGACATTAGAAATCTAATGTTATAAAAATAGATCACTGCATCTTTATAAAAATGTTAATAAAAAATATTCAGCCAGCATCATAAAAGCAAATGAATGAAATACATGCGAACTACTTGGAAAAGTGCAAGCTAGAAAGTTAAGTGCTGTTTCATTGATGAAAATATTCATGCACCTTCTGTCATACTGATTCTGCATGCACAGGATTAACTGTACTAATGGAGAGGCATTCTAGTCCAATATAATACATACATATAGTTCAAAAATACAATGTCTTGAATAATCCATACAAAGCATTCAGAGAATCCCACCTCTGCCCCCACCCACCCAAATAGTTCAACATCTCATTACCTTCTTCCATTGGTCTATAACTAAGATTAGCAAAAAAACAAAACAAAACAAAACAAAAACAAAAACACAAAAAAACAAAACTCAAATTCCACTGAAGAGTTTTTTTAGAAATGATTTCTTTTTCAGGATAAAAGTAGTGATCAGCATGGAGAAGTGAAAACATATATTGCTGTACATCTGCTAAAGATACGTCAGCTATTTTAGCTGAATAGTAAATCCACATTTAACTAAATACTCGTGCCTGAGAAAAATTTACTCATGGTAAACTAGAGGAAAAACAGTAAAAAGAGGGAACATAAAAATAATTAAGTCTTCGAGAATTATGTTAAATATTGAGGGTTTTCCCCTACTTTGTGTGGTTTTAAAACAGCCATGTCATTAGGAAGTTTAACACTGTGACTTGTTAAGTTTTTGATAACTCAGTATATTCTGGCTCACAAAGTTTTGTAAGAGCCACCCTAGGCCTCACTGACTTAATCTATAAAGTAGACATAAAAAGCCTTTCTTTTCCTTTATAGATTGTTTTATGTACCAAACTTAAAAAATTCTCATATTTTAATGGCACACAGAAATGCAAATATTTACTGTACCTTGAGTTTTTCCTGCTACAATTGTCATAAGTTTTTCCCTGATGGTTATCCTACCTATGATCACAGGTGGTCAGTATGCAAAAAACTAAATCCTAGGCTTTAAATCAACTTGCTAACTTGAATTACTTGAAACTAGGTTACTCAAGACCAAAACTCACACGTAAGGTTATCTGTCAAATCCACAAATTGTAATGCTGTTTGTAATACAGTTTTAAAGAGAAAATTCACTTTACTCAATTCACATGTATTTAAATCATGAAGTTTCCTGAAAACTACGCTGCATAGGACTCCTTCTGTAAACTTACTGAATATACCCAAAAAAACCCCGGAATCTCAACAATTAATCATTTGCACTCATCTTAATGAAGTTAACAATTCTTAATTTCAACTACTTAAAGCAAGACAAATTGATACATTTTGAGCAAATATTTTCTAAACCTCATAGAGACCAAAAAACCTTAAGTCATACAAAGTTTATATAGGAAATTAGATAGAACAGAAAAATTTAGCAAGAGCCAAACAGTTTTCTAAAAGATCTATGTAGAGAGAAAAACACTGTGTATAACTCTAACTATAGTTGACAAAGAGAGTGGAGTGAAATTGCATAGGGAATAAAATAAGGATAAGCTTAAGGAAAAAAATAATTGCAAGATAATCTCAAATCTAGAAAACAAAAGTAAATTTAGGCAGTGCAAAGAACAGGCTGGTGAATGCATATGTGCACAAACAACATCCTGAAACTTGCCTGGTAAGTAACAGCTGATTTGATATTGCTTATAAGAAATAGATAAGAGCAAAAGGGAAGAGGCAGCATAATCTTCTACATATTAATCCTGTTTTTAAAAAATCTAGGGGGAAAAAATACCAAGAAATGAGGTTGAATCATTTACAGTAACTTTTTTGTCTAAAAGAAAACACAAATATGCATAACAAAGTTGACTCCTGACAGCTCAAACCCACAAAAACATGAAATTCTATTATGGTAATTCTGATTACCAAAGCAGAGGAAGTACACAAATCTATTAACTGTAGCATAAATTTATTACTAACTTTATGCAAATAATCTCATACTTTATCCATTATGCTTAAGTACAAACATTCATGTGATAACTGTATTTTGTACTTCTATAAATCTCTACAAATCACAGTTTCAAAGGCAGGAGACAACAAATGAACAATTTTAAAATGTCTAGTCTCCATGAAATAAAAAGCAAAATAAAAATCCCAACTACTGTTTTTGATAACGAGAAGAATGAAAAATTACTAATATTAAACTCAGACTAATATAGATGACAGTGAAAAGACCATTTAAAAACTTGCTAAAAGGCAGTGGTTTCGTAAATAAAAAAATTCAAAGTCAGAGATAACAAAGTTATTTGTTGACTGCTAATACACAAAATAAAAATCAGATTCTCTAATGTGAGTAAGTACTGGAGTATGTTTCATTAAGACAAGACTTATTAAAAAAAAAAAAAAAAAAAACAACAATCAGTGTTCTTTTACCCAATAATTTAAATCTGGGCAGTAGCTCACACCTGTTATCCCAGTACTTTAGGAGGCCATGGGGGGTGCATCACCCGAGGTCAGGAGTTGAAGACCAGCCTGGCCAACATGGTGAAACCCTGTCTCTACTAAAAATACAAAAATTAGCCAGGCCTATAATCCCAGTTACTCTGGAGGCTGAGGAAGGAGAATCACTTCAATTCGGGAGGCAGAGGTTGCAGTGAGCCAAGAATGTGCCATTGCACTCCAGACTGGGTAACAGAGTGAGACTCTGTCTCACCAAAAAAAAAAAAAAAAAAAAAAAAAAAAAAGAAAATCTAAATGCTACCACTTTCCTATTTATAAACATATTCAATTTTTTAGCAAATAAATTTCATAAATGTAAGACTGCTTGCATATTCATCTTCTTTGCTTTGGAAAAAATGACTATGACATCTTGTTGAGTAGAAATAATGAACTTTGGAAACAGTGCATAAATCACTTGACAGTTTTCATTTCTTTTAGAAAAAAAAAAAAAACTATTTGAACCATCTTGTACTTAAGTTATTTTCCTTCATCGAGAACTTAAAATGTCTTAAAAATGGTATTTCCATCTTGTCTGGAAGATATTTTTTCGATTACTTCTGCTTACACAGGAGACACAGGCACTGTCAAATATTGACAATAAAAAACAAAGTACTGAAAGTTGTCTTAAAACAAACTCTGCTCTACAATCTCAAAAGTCTTCAGACAGAAGGATCAATCAGTTGTAAGTAATATGGAAACTATTATCAAAGAAATAATGCCATTCCATATAAATTAAATTCCTGAATTTTTTCTTTATCCTTTGACTAAACTGCTAGCAACTTGAGGCTAAGGAAACAGGAATGAATTTGTGTCAAGATTTAGCTAAAGAGATACTCAATAAATTATTTTGATCATTTTCTTTTTAATGAAAATAATCTAAATGTGCATCACAGGGCTCTGGTTAAATAAAATTATAGCACATTATTGACAGAATATTATGAAGCTATTAAAAACGATGCTGACTGGGTGTGGTGACTCTTGCCTGTAATCCCAGCACTTTGGGAGGCCAGCAGGCAGATTGTTTGAGTCCAGGAGTTCAAGACTAGCCTGAGCAACATGGACAAACCCCGGCTCTACAAAAAAAAAAAAAAAAAATGTAAAAATCAGCCAGGTGTGGTCACACGCCTGTGGTCTCAGTTATTGAGGAGGCTGAGGTGGGAGGACCCCTTGAGCCTGGGAGGCGAAGCTCACAGTGAGTCGACTGCGCCACAGCACTCCAGCCTGTCTCAAAAAAACCAAAAAGCGCTACAGAAGAACCATGTATTAAGTGAAAAGTGTGCATTACAAATCAACATTTAGCAAAATCCTTTGTTAACTAAGTAAATATATATACGTATACTTATTAAAAAATTCATCTTCTCATGTATTTGTAGGTTCTAAGTTTTCTAAAACATGCTTCTATTACAAAATAATTATATATTTATATAATTATAAAACAATAAGAAAAAAACAATACTTTTGAGATTACTGGAAAAAGATAAGGTATTTCTGACACTGAATGCCTGCACAGATAAGCTAAAAGAAAAGTTAAATACTTTTACTGTTTCTCCTGAGCAATGCTGATTTTGAAGAAATGTACCCTTCTAAAACACAATCGTTTTCAAATGGTAAGTACAAAAATGTAGTCTACAAAGTAATTGTGGAGTTTTCCCATGTATTAAATTAATGTGTCTCTTCTATTTCCATTTAGGAAAAGAGAGAAGTGAAGGTCTGAAAATAATGCTTGAGAATTATAAAAAGAAAACCGGTGGCAAAATTCAAATCTTTTAAGTATTTGATTCATTTTTTATATCAAGATAATAAATGTATTATATATTAGGTTTATTCTCTCTTGCTATTAGCAATATTTGGTTTAAACACATAAATAAGGCATTTTCTAAAAACCCCAAATGTTTGCTATCAAAATAATTTTTTAAAAAAATCTAGTGATTATTCCTTTTCCTTGTAATTAAGCAAAGCTTTGATGTATTAAAATAACCTTCTCCAGGCCAGAAGCAATGGCTCATGCCTGTAATCCCAGCACTTTGGGAGGCCGAGGTGGGCAGATCACGAGGTCAAGAGATCGAGGCCATCCTGGCTAACAAGGTGAAACTTCGTCTCTACTAAAAATACAAAAATTAGCTGGGTGTGGTGGGGTGCACCTGCAGTCCCAGCTACTCAGGAGGCTGAGGCAGAATTGCTTGAACCTGGGAGCCAGAGACCGCAGTGAGCCGAGATCACACCACTGCACTCCAGCCTGGCAACAGAGCGAGACTGTCTCAAAAAAAAAAAAAATAAATAAAATAAAAATAATAATAATAACTTTCTCCAATAAAGCTCAGTAAACACACTTTGCTCCACCTACCAGACAACATGCTGATATTAAATGAGGATTGCATGAACGTATTTACTAGGAAAAACATAATGGACATCAGTTATTACCTTAAAATATTTTTTACACTTATTTTACTTCCTAATGGGGTTTTTAACTGTGTACAGATAAAGAATCGTTTTCTTTTAGTTACGCCTGAATTATTATTAGCATTATGTAACACTTCCAAAGTTTAGGCCCTAACATTTTACACACTGAATATTATAGGCAGTAAAGTTTAGTATCTTCACTAAATTGTGCTCAATATAGAGCTATAATTCAGGATTAGTAGCTTTGTTGCTTCTTAGTAATTAATCAGATAACACCATATAGACATACTGAGTTAAATCTTCCTAAATCTAGAATACCAAATTAAATAATGGGAATGTTTAAAACTGAATACATACATTTTAAAAAATCTATTAAAGAAAAAGAAAATGAATTTCCAAATTAATTAAATAGTTCAACTTTAAATCCAGACAAATTACAAAAATCTAAATCCACCAGAAGCCATATATATTAAGCAGTTTAGTCACCAAATGTAAATAAATTGGTACAAAATACCTTGTTATTATTCAACATCACCTCCCTTGCTCTCAGTTTAACTGCCACCATACATTCAGATACACATATTCCACATGTAATATTTTATAATAACCCATCATTAAAGGCTATATTTCCTCCCACCCCCTATTTCTTTATCACCTTACCCCATTCTGTGCCATCCCCCGAACTCCGTGCTTCTCCAGCTCCTTCACCATCTTCAGCAGTCACTAAAAAATCAAATTCTTTCAGTGCTTCCTCAGTATCAGGATCGTCAGTTAGGTCAGCAGCTAAACCTTCATTACCTATCTGTAAATAGAATATAAGCCAAGAATTACTTTTATTATACATTAAAAAGGGATCCTTTAATATTGTCACATAACTATATTCACCCATTTTTAAATTACTTGGATCCAAAACTTTAGATTGCCCATGTAATTCACAAATCCCAAATTATACCTTAGATAAATGGTTCAACAGTGCTGTCCAAGATCGATCTAAGTAATATGGTACTAAAAATGGTTTAAGGGCTAATCATCAAGAACAGTTAGTCTCTTATAGTATATTCATAATTAGTCCTCCACTGAAGAACCAGTCACTTATTTGCATTCTGATATGTTATCTTGAATTGACCTCATAAATGGGAAACTGCAGGCTTAGTCCTTCATTCATAGAGATATGGCATAGTAACTACTTTAAGTTCATAACTGTGATAATTATAATAGTGCTTTACCTTCCAGAACAAAAAAATAAAAAGGCTTAAAATCTCTATTCACCCAAATAGACTATAATACACATATAGAATATATCAAAAAACTGAAAACTGATTTTGTAGACTGGAAACTTTTGTGGAACATTGTCATTTTTTTCCTTACATTATTGAAAAATCTCAAAGCACCAACAATTAGAACTACCCACATTTTTTATATGGTTGAAATACTGTACACTATTCTGGTAACTCACAAATGGACAATCGACTCTACTTTTGCTTCTATCGCTAGCCCCCCAAACCACTAAAATAGATAAACCTGTTTCTTAGGTTATGAGCAAAAATAAATTTTTATTATTCCTTACTAAAGAACAAGAATGTCGAGACTTACTTATAATTCACAGATTACTCCCTCACCCAGGGTGGAAGTATTCCCACTGCAACTTCAGTTAATTTACCCCTTGTGTACTATACAAGAAGAGACAGACTTCTACAGTGATTCTCAATTGTGGCAGAGGTGGAAAGGGGGTAGCTTTAAAAAGGTTTCAAAATCAACGGACTAGTCCTACAAAAACAAATCCTTTCTTGCCCATTTAGTGAATAATATAGCAAACAATAATTCCTACTGTATGTAATGCAAAAAGAGCTGAACACATAAAACCTTTAAGCAATATGTAAAATGAAGATGATCACTCCCAATGTAACTTAAGACATCTCAAAAATTTCTATTTCAACTACATGAATATATAGCTAATAAGAATATAAAATCGAATTCCTACTTTGTGTTTATTCATTCGATGTTTGTCTTTTCCTTCTGGGATGCCTTCAATCATGTCATTTTCCTCTTCTTCATCACTATCATCAGCATTTTCTAAGAAATTGAATGTCTCAAGAACATCACCAGAGGGCCTGTGGGAAGGAAAATAGATGAATCCAACTATTCCATCGGCTGGTTCTTTCTTTCTGGTTCCTATTTTAAATCAATTCTTAAAGCTAGAGAGATTTGAATGACTACCTTCTGTCTGAGGACTTTATTCCAGAAAAAAAGTTTGAAAGATTCATGTTCTACGACTGAAATAAAAGTAACTATTCTCTGCTGTCTTTCTCCAAAGTTCATTGTCCAAAATACTTTAGGTAATTACTGCATCAAAATAAAATCCTATGGTATTAGGCACTCGAATTTATTATTAGTTCTCAAAATAAAGCCACCATAAGCAAATGAAACTTAGCATTTCTTTTAAGTACAACCTCTTACAGTTTAGTATAAATGTTTGAGGACTAAAACAGTAAATACCAAAGTTTATCAGGTGGGGCCAGGGACAGTGCTTCATGTAATCCCAGTACTTTGGGAGGTGAAGGCAGGAGGATCACTTGAGCCTAGGAGTTCAGGACCAAGACCAGCCTGGGCAACATAGTGAAGTCTGTCTTCAAAAAAAATTAGCTAGGTATGGTGTCGTGTGCCTATAGTCTCAGCTACTCAGGAGACTGAGGCTGGAGGATCACTTCAGCCCAGGACATCGAGGCTGCAGTGAGCTATAGCTATACACTGCATTCCAGCCTGGGTGACAGAGCAAGACCCTGTCTCAAAATGAAAACAAAAAAATTTAAAAATAATTTATCAAGCAGCCCAGATTTAAATTTATAGTAAATCAGATATAAAACATCCCAATCCATTTCACGGCCTGTCATATCTAGAAGAAAGAACTCAAAATCTATTAAAGAAATACTTTTAAGTCTTACAGAATCACTCATATAACAGGTAATAGGGACAGGCTTAACTAAATATTTTAACTAATTTGAGTTTCTCTATACACACACAAAAAAGGTTTTCATATAGCTGTTTGAATGTCTAACAATAAAGGCAGCAACAAAAACAATAAAGGCAGTAGAAAATTCAGCTGAACAATAACTTTCACCATGAAAAGTCTCTGCTCTGCCACTAAGTAGCTGCTTGAATTTGGCCAAACCATTTAAAACTTTGGCCTCAATTTCTTTACCTGTAAATCATGGGAGCTGAATTAGATTCTCAATGTCTTTACTAAGACTACATGGTACCAAAAAGAAAAATCATATAAAACTCAGGGAGGGTTTTTGCCCCCCGCCCCCAATTGGTTGCCTCCATTAGTTCAAATTAGCATATAACACAATTCAGATTCTAGTCATCCCTTGGCTTCCATGAGGGATTGGTTCTGGGACACATACCTCCCCCTATGATGCTCAAGTACCTACATACATTCTCCTTATAGTATACTTTAAATCATCTCTAGATTACTTATAATACCAAATACAATGTAAATACTACATAAATAGGTGTCATACTGCATTTTTAAATTTGTATTTTATTTTTTGTCATTTTTTTTCAATGTGGTATTTTCAATCCATCGATGCAGAACCCACAGACAGAAAGGGTTCACTATATTTTTTAAAAAGCATTAACAAAGAGTTTTAATAGGTTGCACTATATCCCACCCAATCCAGCACAGTTTAAAGAAACTGTATAAAGACTGAATGTAGAAGGAGATGGTTTTTACAAATGCAAATTAGTAAAAACAACCACAAATCTACCAGAACAATAAATACTTTCAGCTCAACATTTACAATATAACTTAGTATTTGGAGATTAAATGAAAGGCAATGATGCACTTGATAAAATTAGCATATCAATGATAAAATAATTTAAAATAATTTTTTTAAAGATATAAGATATTTAACTTTGAAAAATTAAGTACTGCTGCTCCTTGGATAGAAATTTCTGTCTCTAAAATGAGAGTTCTCCCTGTTTCCAGGTTATAAAAACTGCATTTAATCACAGCAATACATTTGCATGGCTTTAAAAGTCAAACAGAACACAAGCATAAAAGAAAGAATTGATGAATCAGATTTCGCCAAAATTATTAACGTTTTCTCTTTGAAAGATACTAAGAAAATGTAAAGAAAATCTGTAAATTGGGAAAAAATATTTGCAACTTATATTTGATGAAAAACTTGTGTCAACGGTATATAAAGAACTCTTAAGCCATTATAGTAACAAAACAATTAAAAATGGGGAAATATTTCAAATAGACATTGCATCATAATGATGGGTGGAATGTAAATAAGCATATGAACAGATGCTCAACATCATTAGTCTTTAGGGAATTGAAAATTAAAGGATCATAGACTGTGAAAGGTCTCAGGGTTTTCCCTGCCTTCAAGCTAACAACCTCATCTATTACTGTTTCATGAATCCTGAAATAAGTCATAAAATTGAGTCAGAGACAAGAATTCTACTCCTCAGGAGCACAGGAAGTAACAGGATGATAATGTTTGCTGAATTTCCTTTGCCCAAGTCCCACAAGGGTGGCAAGGAGGGGATTGGGTAGATGTTACACTTACAGTTTGTTTGAATCATAGCGGAGGAACTCTGGGCTTAGGGAACTTGAATCTTTATATTGAACAGTAAGCGTGACTTTCCAGAAGACTGTCTCTATCTTACAAGGCTGTTTGTTATATAAATATCCTTAAATAGATAATCCAGAATAAAAGGGCAATATGTGTCTCTGCTCACAGGATGTTTAGAAACATGAGAGATCAATGGAGAATTGTCTCTAAAAAACAAAACAAAAATGAGATAGTGTCACAAACTTATAAGAATGACTAAAATTAAGGAACGCAGTCTGGAGTGGAGTTGATGAAGAGTAGAAAAAGATTAGAAGAGCTACTGAGCTGAAGAATGAAAAAAGGGGTCAGCCAGTAAAGAAAAAGAAAAGGGTTGTCAGGCAGCTTTTTAGGTCTCTAGTGAAGCTGGCTAAGAGTAATTTGGGGATCATAAGTATCGTTAATCTTTGGTTGTTGCAGCAGTTGCTAAAATGAAGTTCTGCTTGCTAGGAAGTACTCAGGAGAAAAAAGGCAAATAGCTCTAAATAAATTGACAAGGCACACAATGAGTAACAAGAGAGTCCCCTGATCCATCCTTCTCTATCTTTGATTCCTACACACTAGGAACAACCATTTTTCAACCTCTTTTTAAAGAAGCTTCCTTTGTTATTTACCCTATTTTTTCTAAATAACATGCTTAGATTGCTATTTCTTGATAAAAATTTTGTTCCCTACAGCCTCTATCCCACACCCACACTTCCTCCCATAACAGTAACATAGTTACATCAATTTACTTTCACCTATATTAATATTCCATGGTTACAAAGTACATATTAGTATTTCCATTTAAATCACATTGCAATGACTCCACTTCCTTTCTTTTATGTATAGTTTTCCTGAAATAACTGCCCAGTGTGGTTTTTCTTAACTGCCTGGTTTTCCAAGGATGTTATCACTATTCTCCTCTGAATTTTCCAGCAGAACTACACGTCTCTTTTCAAAATCCTCAGACACATAAAGCAATGTATTAATTTCCTATTTTCTAAGAAACTTTCCTTCCAATGTTCTGTCCTCCTTCCATTCTACTCTGGCTACTGTCCAGGCCCAATGAATAACTATTTCCTGAAATTTCCTTTTCTTCTCTTTATTAAATATCCTTTTTCTTGGATCCTACACTTTCCTCCTCAGCCTAGTCTCTCAGAATGCTGAGACACATCTCCAATAGCTTCCTGAGAAAAAAATGAAGGATAAATTTGAGGCTTTGATATCTAAATGTCTCTTTATGCTATTAATACTTTCACAAACAATACAGTACTTGGCTCAGTATACAAATCTAAATGGAAATCACTTTCCCTCAGGATTTTTAAGGCACTGCTCTACTATATTCTAGCTTTGTTTAATAATGCCTGATACCTAGTCTTTTCAACGTAGTCTAATTTTTCTATCTGGAAGATTTCAGAATTTCCACTTAATTTTTAGTATTCATGATGATAACCTCTGTATGGATCTTTTTTCAGCACCTGGAAAGAATCCTTTCAATCTGGAACAAACATCCCTGGAAATACATTCTGAAAATATATTTCAGAGAGTTTTCTTGTATTACTATTTTAATCAAGTTTTCAACAACACTTAATTTGTATTCTCTTTTTGAAACTCCTAGTCAGATACTGATCCTCCCAACTTGATCTCTGAATCTTCCTCTTTCTGGTCCTAACTGGTGTACTGTCCACATGGGTGCCATGGTCTGAATATTTGTGTCCCTTAGCAAAATTCCTATGTTGAAACCTAATCCCCAATATGATGGTATTAAGAGGTAGCCCTTTGGGAGGTGACAGAGTCTTTATGAATAGAATTAGTACCCTTACAAAAGAGGCCCAAAGGAGCCTAACTTTTCCACCATGTGAAAACTCAGTGGGAATTCAGCAGTCTGAAACCCAGAAAAGGGTCTTCACCAGAACCCAACCATGCTGACACATTGATCTTAGACTTCCCAACCTCCTGAGCTGTGAGAAATAAATTTCTATTATTTATAAACTACTCAGTCCATGGTATTTTGTTATAGCCACCCAGAAGGACTAAGAATATGGCTATGTCTTGTCAAGCTGCTGACTTAACTTATACATGATAGGTCACAGGCCCAGCCATTTCACTGACACATCCCAATTTTCAGTACCATTAGGCCTTTTCTATTAATGTGATTCAATTTTAATATCTTGCTTGTAAAAGATAAAAGCTGCCAACGTACTGGAAGTCAAACAGTAGGAGAAAACAGGAGATGTCAATGCTTAGCTGGAGACTTTCACACAACCCTGCTGTTTCCATTTTATACAATAACCCCATCTTTCAGTTGTTTTATTTCTTAAGACAACAGAAATCACTGGTGGAAAATACACTACCATTCTTTGGAGTAGGAGAGGGGTGCTGTTAAGCCAGTTTTGCAAGATGAAAGAGGATTTAACATTGTGCTTCTTAAACTTTTATTTTTCTTTGAGACGGAGTCTCCCTCTGTTGCCCAGGCTAGAGTGCAGTGGCATGATCTTGGCTCACTGCCA